GAGGAGATAAGGAACATTCAAGAAAGTCATGGAGGAACACTGCTTCTCAAGAGTTATTTTCTGGAGCATTAGATGGATGATTATATTAATAAGTGTTCTGAGAGAAAAGATCCTGTGGTCAAGTGAGGTTGGGAAATGCTTCTTTAGTTAAGACGAAATAATCTCTTTTCAACGTTTTTTGTTGTTGTTGTTGTTGTTGTTGTTGTTTTATTTTTGGGACAGAGAGAGACAGAGCATGAACGGGGGAGGGGCAGAGAGAGAGGGAGACACAGAATCGGAAACAGGCTCCAGGCTCTGAGCCATCAGCCCAGAGCCCGACGCGGGGCTCGAACTCACGGACCGTGAGATCGTGACCTGGTTGAAGTCGGACGCTTAACCGACTGCGCCACCCAGGCGCCCCTGTCCCAAAAATAAATTAAAAAAAAAAAAAAACTTTATCTATGAGTTTGTACTGTCAGCATCCAACACTGGGATCTGGCCTGTGAAAGATTTGATAAGAACGTGCTATTCACATCTTATGGGATTTTAATGGAAAAACAGAGTAAAAGAAAATAAAGTTCCTGTTTTCAAGTCAGTCATTGCCTAATGGGGAGAAGATCCCATAAATAGACTATTAAAACCAACTAATAAAAGGGTAACAGTGAAGACAAATATGGAGAGGACTGTGGAGGCTCAGTAGAGGGAAACTGACTGAGCAGGGGGAGCCAGTGCTGCCTGGAGCAGGTGACTCTGGAGCTGAGCCTTCACGATGAGTGCATCGTTCCAATCCCGTGGACAGGAGCCTACCTTTTCTGGTCATCTACATGGAATACATGGTCCTTTGTCTTCACTAAAGCATAGAGCTTTTCTGTGCCAGTATTTACATGCATATTCCTTTGTTATCTTCAGAAGCCAGACAGATCTAGATCCAAACCTCATCTCTCCCTATTACTACCTCTGTGATCTTGAGCAACGACCTGAGCCTCATCTGTTTTTCAGAATTGTCGTAAGAATTAGAGATCGTATAGCAAAGTGCCTGAAATGTAACAGGTTCAACCATTTATACTATTATTACTTTTATTAGGCCTTGAGATTATAATGGATCTGCAGATACCTAATCTCAGCGTTCGCTGGGTGTAGACCAATCCCATTCTGTAATATTACAGCTTTTGTTTGAAACTCCGCTGAAATTCAGTTTTGTTTAATAAGCTCTCGGACACTGGGGCGCCTGGGTGGCGCAGTCGGTTAAGCGTCCGACTTCAGCCAGGTCACGATCTCGCGGTCCGTGAGTTGGAGCCCCGCGTCGGGCTCTGGGCTGATGGCTCAGAGCCTGGAGCCTGCTTCCGATTCTGTGTCTCCCTCTCTCTCTGCCCCTCCCCCGTTCATGCTCTGTCTCTCTCTGTCCCAAAAATAAATAAAAACGTTAAAAAAAATAAAATAAAAAAATAAAAAATAAAAAAAAAAAAAAGCTCTCGGACACCAAAAGACTGTAGTGCTACAGCTGGGATAAATACAAAATGAATTAACCACAGATCTTGTCCTGGATCAAAAGTTTCCAGTTCAATGCTCGGAGTGGGGTAGAGTTGGAGAAACTAAGAGCATAATAATAGGCACAAGAGATGGGGAAATCCATAGACACCAAATATGAGACACAGATAAGATACTGTGGGAGAGAAGATCACTTCCCTTTGGCAGATGAGGGAAGGCTTCCTGAAAGCAGTGATATTTAAGCAGGCCCTGAATACATGACTCATATACGGACATAAGAGATTAGCAAGGGAAGAAAGCCAGGAGAAGAAAACAGAAGAAGCAAAGTAATAATTTGTCAATTTGGCCTACTTATGTAGCTCCTGCGGGTGATACGTGGAATATAAAACCAGAAAGATAAATTGTCAACAGATTATGAAGGGCGAGAACGGCTCACTGTTCATTTGCATCAACGTGTCGCTTTAGATAGCTCTATAAAATACAACAAACATCATGTAAATGTATAGCTGAGTTGACAAGAGAGGAAAATCTACAGGAACCCGAAGCACCGCAAACTTCACCAGTAAGCTCATGAGCTGACCCTGTTAGTAACAAAGGTCTTGACTTCGATGTGCCTAAGCAGACAGTGCATGAGACAATAGTCCGGAGTGCTGGGGATAGATGGCTGCATACCTGATATCCACCCACAAAGTAAGAGTCTTCCGAGCACTCGAGAAATAAAGTATACAGCTTAAAGAAGTCCATCTACTGTTAGAGGAATTCCCGAATAAAATCTGTTTGTCAGCCTGGACATAAAAACAAAGTTGTCATCTCTGATAATTTGTTACCATAGACCTGCTGCACTTGCGTGTGGAGGTTGAATAAATACTGCAGAAGAGACCTGGAAAAATGCAAGCTGAGAAATTAACGGAAAAGTTCTGCCAGACAGCTATTATTTTGGTAGCTCCGGGGAGAAGCAAGCACAAAACCATGCTGGCAGGACATACCAGCACACAAGGTTACAAAATATTTTTTTAAGCAGAAGCCCATTGCAGATTAGCTCACAAGGAAAAATTATATAATTCATGAAGGAATAATCACTAGGGAGAGGTAAGAGACCAGTAAACAACGGAAGGAGACCTCCCAGAACTTTAGATAATAGAAACTATGAACTAGGTATCTTTTTTTTTTTTTTCCAACGTTTATTTATTTTTGGGACAGAGAGAGACAGAGCATGAATGGGGGAGGGGCAGAGAGAGAGGGAGACACAGAATCGGAAACAGGCTCCAGGCTCTGAGCCATCAGCCCAGAGCCCGACGCGGGGCTCGAACTCACGGACCGCGAGATCGTGACCTGGCTGAAGTCGGACGCTCAACCGACTGCGCCACCCAGGCGCCCCAGAACTAGGTATCTTTAAAATGATTAAAAACATTAAAAAAAGAGACCGCGTATATGAGAGAAGAGGAAGACATCATTTAAAATGTATCTGAGAAAGAATAAAGGTGAGAAATATAGTTTTTGATATAAAAATCATTATATAGTATAAATAGTAGCCTAGGATAAGCTGAAGAAAAATTATAAATTGGAAAATAGACCCTAAGAAGTTGCTAAGACTATCATTTAGAGAAATACACATGAAAAAAATTTAAGAGACGTGGCAAACGGAATGCAAAATAAGAACATACACAGAAATGACAAGTGGAAGTAATAGTTGAAAGATGATAGCTAAAATGGTTCCATGTTTTCTATTAACTTCACTCACCACTATGACTACAGTCCACCCCACCGGTGTCTTTCACCGGGATTTTTTGGTAGCCTCCTACCCAACCTTCCTGCTGCTGCCCCCGTCTGCTCTACTCTCGACATCTGAACCTGAGACAGTAAAAGTTGGATCATATCGTGTCGATCCTCTGCCCAAAACCTTCCAGTGGCTTCCTATCCCATTAGTGGTAGACGTACATAAAAGGCCCACATAGCCCTGTTTGGCATGCCTTGTTAACTCTCTGAACCCTTAACCCCTTCGGCCCTCTGCTTTGTCCTCCCTCTCTGCTCCAGCCATACCTCCCTCCTTGCTCTTCCTCCAACACTTGAGTCAAGTTTCCCCCTCCAAACCCTTGACCTTGCAGTCTCTTGGGTTTGGATGCTCTTCCCCCACATAGCTGCATGGGTCCTTCCTTCCTCTCCCTCAGGTCTTTGCACAGATACCACCTTGTGTGTGAGGCCTTGCTTAATAATTCTATTTAAAATCACAAATCCCCCCCCCTACCCCTAGCACACCTTTATTCCCTTTTATGACTCATTTTTCCATAGCACCCATCACTTATAAAATATATTTTGTGTATTGATTCATTTATTTCTGTCCCCCATCTTCTACTACCCAATCCAAGAATGTAAACTTTGCACGTGATAACGTCAACACTAGTGAAAATTGGCTAACACAGTAAGTGCAGAAAAATTCATAACTTTAAATTGCTATATTATAAAAGAAGGCTGTGTATTAGAATGCCAAACTTGAACCCAACAAATTAGAAACTTTTAAAAAGTGTAAGCCCAAAGGAAGAAATGAGCAGCGTAAGAACAAAAGTTAAATGCGTAGAAAACAAAGCTGTATTAGAGAGGATTGTTAAAATTAAAGCCGTTATTCAATTTTAAAACATGAATTTAAGGGAAAAACCTCCAGAGAAGCTGGTTATGAAGGAAGCAGGCAACGTTCGTAATTGGCCTTACGAGTTAAAATGTGGCCATAACAGTAAAAGCAAGAGAGAAATGAAAAATACTGAAGCAATTCTATAGACAACTTTATGTCAAAAATTTTGAAAACTTAGAAGAAATGGAACATTTGCTGCCCGATTATAACTTACTACAAGTGACCCAAGAAGAAAGTGAACAGAACAAAAACAAAAACACAACACCTGAACAGATTGACAAAAGGAGATAGGATGAATTATAATGTATACACATCAAGGAGAAGGGATGGGAATGTTACTCATTTGGAAAGAAAAAATACAAATGTATCTTTCTCACACCACATGCAAACATAGATTTTAGCTGGATATATAAAAGATAACATTTAGATGTATTTTAAAACCTGAAAAATGCCATGAATTGTCTTTAGATCTATTTCATACATCCCAGAAGTATAAAAAACATAAGCAGGACTGATGTACATCAAAATCAGGACTCCGGTTACTTCCAAGAAGGGCAGTAAGGAATGAGAATGAGGGGATCCCAGGGCCTTCGTGCCTAGATCTAATCTTCAGGGTTAATTTTTAAAAGATTTGATGTGATTATCGCAAAATGTTAAGATTTGGCAAGGCTAGGCTGTGAATACATGGATGCTTATTACATTATTCATTCATCTTTTAGTATCTTTTTTTTTTTAATTTTTTTTTTCAACGTTTATTTATTTTTGGGACAGAGAGAGACAGAGCATGAACGGGCTCTGAGCCATCAGCCCAGAGCCCGACGCGGGGCTCGAACTCACGGACCGCGAGATCGTGACCTGGCTGAAGTCGGACGCTTAACCGACTGCGCCACCCAGGCGCCCCTCATCTTTTAGTATCTTGAAACATGCCACCATTAGGAAAGAAGACTGTGCCAAAACAATCTGTCTTTTTTGGTAAGCAGTGAGTAACTTTTGAAGGTGTTTAACGGGAAGTCTGACCATTGAATGCTTCAACAGGCAGGCCATCATGGAAACCTGAGTGCTTTCTCTTCCCTCTCACTGAATGGATCTCAACACTCCTTGATTCAAATGAGAATCCAGAATGAACAGGTACAGACAAGGTGGGTCTCACCAAGCCAGACATGGAACAAAGTTGCTTTATTGAGAAACTTTCTGAGGAGACTAATATGAAACTGTTTGTTTTGTTTGTATGTCAAGGCACCCGGAGGCAACCACACAACATTGTGAAATCCTTGGAACATAACCAGTTTAAACCGGTGGTGTTTCAGGCGGAGAGAGTGAGCTCCTCCGCGCAGAAGTTTTGAGACTGCCTAACACCTCTGTCATAATCAAGCAGAAGCAAAATCAAAATGTATTTCTACCAAGTGCAATTTATAGAAGAGATTGCGTATAGAAAGGATCATGTAAAAACTATATGTGTTTATATCTCTACTTGCCACAGCTTATAAAAAAATTCCTCTGTAGAATTCCATTATTGATGTTTTATGTTTTTCAGTTTCTCTGTGCAATATGTAATTATTTCAACCTCTGCCCCTTTGTCTGTATTAGCGGGCTAGAATTCGGAAGGGTTTCTTTCTGAGAACTCCAATAGTCTCAGGAAAGCAATCTTCCCCCACTCAGCTCATCTTCCCTGATCTAAATAATTCTAGTTCTTGAATGCCCCAGTGACTTGAATAGGATGAAGCTTTCAAGACATAGCGTTCCCTTCAAGTATTTAATCTCAAAGAAAAGCAAGCTTCATTCCCTCAAGGAAAAAGAAACCTAATGCTAAATATGAATTGCTTTTCATTTCTCTGTTCTCTCTCTCTCTCTTTTTTTCCTTCTGAGACTATTTTTATCTAGATAAAGGAACGAAATGGCCAGAGCCATTATCTGGATAATTTAATTCTAGGATATTTTGCCCAAGATTGGATGGCTGAGATAAAAAGTAGGATTTTACAATGTTAGGCTATTAGCTGCAGCCTTGATGCTTAGAAGTAGTTAGAAAAGACTGGGAGTCTCTCTTGGAGGGATGGGAAGTGAAAGACAAAAGATAAAACAACGGGAAAAGGAAAAGAATGGGTTTCTTCTGAACGCTTGACTGTGTTCCAGATACTCCACGTAAATCACCTAAGTGAACTCTTGCACTCTCTCCAGGGAGTATTTATTGTGTTCTTCATGCCGCGGGTGACGAGCTGACTGGAACAGGTGGAATAATGACCAAGTGGGGGGCACGGAGGTGCATTAAAGGATCTCCGTTAAAGGAAACCTGCCCCTGTATCCTCAGATCTACACTGGCATTTTTGCCGAGACCACCCTCCACCCAGGCTGCTCCCCGGCCATGACCGAGCACAGCAGTGGCCCTAGAGCCGTGCGGTCCTGCCTGAGGTGGGATTCCTCCAACTTCTGCCCCGAGGCTCTGCATTAGCCCGGCCAGGGTTTTCTCAGAACCGTACTCAGATCTGTAGGGATTTTCCTACCGGATGCTGCTTCCTTCCCCCTGTCCTTTCACAGTATCAGACCTGCATTACCTACCCTCCCCTGTTCCCTCTATCTTTATCCTTTGTATCACTCTCCCCAGCTAGTGTCTTGTACATCCTGCCTTGTCATCTGCTTCTCAAGGGACCTTACCTGACACGGGCCACATAACTAATGACTGTCACAATGAAAGGCTGATTCCAAAGGCATTGCTCTTTCAGTATTGACATTAACACCACTAATGGTACTAATATTGATACTGTTAATAATTAACGCTGTGTGAATATCCTTTGTTGAGTACTTCCTGTGAACTAGGTGTTGTGCTTAGACTTCCATGCATTATCTCGTTCCGTTTTCACCACCGTCTATAGTAAGATCGACGTGATCTGCATTTTACAGATGAGAAGACAAAGGCTCAGAAATGTTATTAATTTATCCATAGCACGTAATTATCCAGTAGCCTATCCAGGATTTGCACTTGGGTTTGTATGACTCTAAAATCCATGTTCTTAACCCCTCTGTACATTTTGTAGCGTCTGTACCTTACCATAAACCACCCTGCCTCCTTCCAACTTACGTGACTTTACATGCTTTTGGACTCCGATTTGACGGGTATTTTTCCACTTGAGAATAAGCAGCAAACATTTATAAAACACCAACCCTGTGCCCAGGTTTTTGGATATAACCTGAGGATTCAATAAAAGGAAAGGGCTAGTTCCTGCTTCCAAGGAAATCGTTATTAATCCGTGACATTATTAACAATGTAAGTGAAGAGAAACTATCGATAACGTCCAAAACAAAAAACCATCCAAGAAGCTAGACAACTATATGGCTGTTATTAAGTGACACTCCTTTTCAGAACGACACAACATAAAAGTGAACAAACGCCAAAGGCTATGAGATTTCAAGAGAGCAAAGAGTCCCTATTTAGCTGTAAAAAGGGAACTAGGTCTTGAAGAGTCCGTAACATTTGGAAAGGCAGAAAACGGGAGATACCAAATGTGCTAGCTGGAGGAAGAGTCAATCCTTAACATAATGACAGATTCAGGGAGAAATGTAATTAGTAAATTCTCACTTGGCATCACCTAAAACATTCCCTCCTAGAGAATATAGTGGCATGTACTATAATGGAAATAATATGCGCTTGGCTGTCAGACAGACCTGCAACCCCCAAGACTGTCAGCAAGAACTGGTTAAACAATAAAACCGCGAACTAGGGCAACCAGAAGGATGTTTAATGGTGCTGCACGGGAAATTTAATTGTGCGCAGGTATCTCCCCAATTGGGGAATCTGTTTTGATCCTGGACCTCATTCAGGAACCTACCCTTCCTCACTGAAGGAGTCTTAAAATACTTCCTGACATGCAAAAAGACAAGGGGGGGGGGTGTCAAAAAACCACATACTAAACCCAAAGAGAAAAATAATGAGGCCACTGGCCTTGAGTGTACAGGCTACTGGAAGGTTGTTGGATTCTACACTCAGAGTGAAGCCCTGCTGTTAGTAACTCTCTGCCTACCGGTCACCTGTTAGCATCTTGGAAGCAAGCAAAGCCTCTTTATCAGTTCCTGAGAGAAGTTCCAAATAAACACTGAAAGCAGCATGAGCAAAAGTTGAGAGTTTTCTGTAACACAGCATGGAGAGCCCTGTTGCAAATAATCGGTAACTCAGAATGAAGTTGTCTTAGGCCCACAATTCAGGAGAGACTCAGAAAGAAATCCATAGAACTTGGATGATATAGTGAATGAGGAGTTGAGACCAGGCCAAAGCAGAAATTGTCCCATTAGCCTTCGCTGGTTGAGGCCTTCCTCCTTAGAGAGAAGGAACTGGATGTTACTGTCACAACCTGCTGGGTACCACTGGTTTCTCTGTGGCCAGTTACAGCATGAGGTGCACAGTCCATTAAGTTTTCCAGGTGGGCCAGCCTACACTGACGCGTTGAGGGACCCCCCCCCAACTGAATGAACTTCTGAGGAGCCAAAGTGAGAAGCCCTGGATAGGAGGGGAGGAAGAAAGTCTTACTTTTCACTCCTCATTGAAATGTTCCCAAAACTAATAATATGGTACATCATTTTTATTTTTTTAATTAGTTTTTTAATGCTTATTTTTGAAAGAGGGAGAGAGATGGGGCACGAGCAGGGGAGGGGCAGAGAGAGAGCGGGAGACACAGAATCCAAAGCAGGCTCCAGGCTCTGAGCTGTCAGCACAGAGCCCGACGCGGGGCTTGAACCCACAACCTGTGAGATCATGACCTGAGCCCAGGTCAGACGCTCAACCGACTGAGCCACCCAGGCGCTCCTGGTATGTCATTTTTAATAAGAAGCCGCAAACTGAAAGATGAACAGCGTAGCTAGAAGGAGGAGAGAGGAGGAGTTAACTGTGGAAGGGTAGGGTTGGGAGGGGGCCAGAATCACATAGGGCTTCCTGGGCTGCGTTAAGAGAACGAGTCCATAGATTACACACATGGGAAGACACGGACAGGTTTTCAGAAGGAAGGTGACATACCGAATTTCTGTTTCCAGATTTGTCAGGGTGAGACTGGGTATCCGTGTAAAAACAGCAAAGTTGTAACAGCAGTTCCAACAAGTGCCCCTGGTAACTGGACTGTTGGTGGTAGTGTGAGTGAAGAGAGTACGTTGATTAAAGAGAGCGTGAGAAGGTGGAACCCATACGGCTCACAGGACAGGTATGGTGTAGGGGGAGGGAGAGGGAGAAATCCAAGATGGCTCCTGGATCTCTGACCTGCTTACCTGGAGGGGTGGTGGTGAGCTCACTGAGCTAGGGAGCACCGGGAAGCCCGTACCAGCAAGGATCACAGACTTGCTCTTTGGCGTGACTTTCAAGGGCTTTGAGATAGAAGAAGCGGGGAAGGTGGGTATGTGTGTCAGGAGCGCCGAGGAGGGGTCTGAGTGGGGACATAAGTGACTGGAATGGGTGCCGGTACATGGGCTGAGACTGAATGGGAAAGTGGAGTTCACAGGGAGTCAAGGAAAGAAAGAACAGTTACTCACTCAACAGGGCTTGCATTCTTTTCTCCTTGATCTTGGGCCAAATCCTCTATTATCAGCCTCTCTTACAAGGTAATATCATTGTGTTCCTCTGTTTGTACCCCTGTGGGACTGTAAGCTGGTTGAGGGCAAGTCTCTTTTACTTATTTAAGTGTACAATGCCTAGCAGAGTGTTCAGCATACAGTCGGGGCAAATAAATAATGGGTGAGCAGGTGCATGAATGAAGAGTATAGCTACAGAATAAACCAGGGATGGAGACCTGAGAAATCTGGTTTCTGCTTTCCTTCTTCTGTACAACCACTGGAAACTCACCTGATGGGTTTTTTTTTTTTTTTTTTTGAGGGGGAGGGAGAGGCAGAGAGAAAGGGAGAGAGAAAAATCTTTTTAAAAATATTTATTTATTTTTGGGAGAGCCTAAGTGGGGGAGGGGCAGAGAGAGGGGGGACAGAAGATCCAAAGCAGGTTCTGCACAGACAGGTTGACAGCATTGAGCCCAGTGTGGGGCTCCAACTCACAAACTGTGAGACCACGACCTGAGCCAAAGTCCGATGCTCAACCAACTGAGCCACCCAGATGCCCCAGGGAGAGAGAAAATCTTAAGCAGGCTCCACACCCAGTGACAAGCCCAATGTGGGGCTTGATCCCACAACCATGAGATCATGACCTAAAACCCAAATCAAGAGATGGACACTTTCTGAGCCAGGCACCCCTCAGCTGATTATTTTATAGCTCAATTTTCTTATTTAATCTGCTTGAGACATCATAGGACATGTGCTTAGTGAATGAAGGCATAGTCCTCCTGATATCATAGGAGGAAGGGGTCCAACATCTACCGGATACCTAATATGTGCTACTGCCCTGATCCTGGTGCACGTGCACACACGCGCGCATGCACACACACACACACACACACACACACGAAATCTCAAAATTAATCCTCGTAACTATGCTTTGAAGGTAGATAGGATTGTCGTCACTTTTACACATGAAGACATCCAGATTCAAAT